CTTGCAAAAGTTTAAATACCTGGTCAAGATAGAGATGGCACTGTGGAAAACTTTCATTGGGTTCGCAATAAGTTAGGATGGAGGAAATTGTCTGACAACTCTTTATTGGAGTTATTGCCCTTTAATGATTTTTATAAATAATTTTGCGTTTCGGCTTATATCTTATAATCGATAGATACTGAAATAAGCGTAAATGATCAGCAAGACAAGATCTACTTACAAGTCAGATAGCAGAAATCGTCAGTTGACTCCTTAATGGATTATTGCGAACCCAATGAAAGTTTTCCACAGTGCCATCTCTATCTTGACCAGGTATTTAAACTTTTGCAAGTTCACCTGTCCTATTGAATAGATACAATAGCTATTGTTCTCTGTGTATAGTTTATTCTCTGGGACCTTTAAATTTCTTCTAAGAGAAATCTATCATTCATTGATTAAATTACCTGAGTAAAAAAAAATTCTTATATATAGACAAAAATACTGTTTTTATACTCATTAACTGCGTGTGATGATGTAGTTATTCAATATTAATAATTTATTTTCCTTCAGTTTAATATAAACATTGATTCAATCATAAAAATTTGATTTCTGACAAAACTTTCAACATTGTTCCTTTTAAAAAAAAATTTGTTTGACATGAATAAGAACTTGAAAATAATGATGTTTCAAATTAAGATCTTCTTAAATGTATTCTATAACTAAACAAAAAAAAATCAAATTTCAATAGGAACATTGATAAAACTTTTGTTAAAAATCAACTTTTTATGATTGAATCAATGTTTATATTAAACTGAATGAAAATATATTATTAATATTGAATAAATACATCAACACACGCAATTAATGAGTATAAAAAAAGTATTTTTGTCTATATATAAGATTTTTTTTTTACACAGGTAATTTAATCAATGAATGATAGATTTCTCTTAGAAGAAATTTAAAGGTCCCAGTGAATAAACTACACAGAGAAAAATAGCTATTGTATTCATTCAATAGGACAGGTGAACTTGCAAAAGTTTAAATACCTGGTCAAGATAGAGATGGCACTGTGGAAAACTTTCATTGGGTTCGCAATAACTATGTTTGAAATGATGGAAACTCTCTCACTTTCTAAAGATGAACATTTTAGTAGAAAGTGGAGTTCGCCTTCCACATCTTTTTTACAAAGATTACAAATTCTATCTATTGCTGAAGTCCCCTGTATCTACCTCTCTCTATTTCTAGATTATGGTTACTTATTCTGAATTTTGTCATCTGAATTCTCAGATTCCTATTGCCTATAGACAGATAAAGTTCAAAACTTATATTTCTCTTAAAAAGTCTATATGTTCTTAGTTTTTTTTCCAAAATGACATATTTGTACTTTCATCGTTTAAAGATGAATACCACAACTGATTATACTTTAATTTTAGTCTGTTCAAAATAAATCTTTTCAAATTGGATTTCATATCAAAAACTTGTGATAAATCTATGTCTAAGTATTTTCCTAATGAACTCATACAATTATACCAACTTTTCTTACTATGGTTCGATAAGGATTTTGATACAAGGAGGGCTTCAGACAATAATTTGTCCTCTGTATTTGTTAAACCTGATAAGTATGAAAACATATTTATTGCGAACCCAATGATACTTTTCAACAGATTCACCTGCAAGCTACCTGTGGATTTAAACTTTTGTAAGTTCTTTTGTCCCATCTAATAAATACAATAGCTATTGTTCTCTGTGTAGTTTATTTGATGGGACCTTTAAATTTCTTCCAAGAGAAATCTATCACTCACAGATTAATTTACCTGAACAAAAAATTGAACTGTCAATAATGAAAATATATGTACAAATACTAAATAAGGACTCAAAATGCTGCATATGGTGTTGTTTTATTCAATATCAATAATTCATTTGTAATAGTTTCAATATAAACACTGATTCAAAAATTAAAAGTTGATTTCTGAAAAAAAAAATTATATTTTCCCTGTTAAAATTGGCTTTTTTTTTTGTGTGTTTGACAAATAAAAACTTGAAAATTATTTAAATTAAGGTCTTGATAAATGTATTCTATACCTGAACAACAACAAAAACATGCAAATTCATTGGAACAATACTAAAAATTTTGTCAGAAATAAACTTTTTATAATTAAATCAGTGTTTACATTGAACAGATTGAAAATATTTTATTGATATTGATTAAATAAAATATTGCATGCAGTTTATGCGAGTTTATTCAACTATTTCCCCAAAAAAAGAAGATAATTTTTTGGTCAGGTAAATTAATCAATGTGTGATAGATTTCTGCTAGAAGAAATTTAAAGGTCCCAGTGAAAAAACTACACAGAGAACAATAGCTATTGTTTTTATTCAATAGGACAAGAGAATAGACAAAAGTTTAAATACCCTGGTCAAGAGCAGACGACTCTGTGGAAAACTTTCATTTGGTTCGCAATAATTGCTCTTTAATTATGATTTTTACCCATTTTTAGTGTTTTTGTCTATTATCTTGAAAACTATGATAGATAGATAGACACTTGAACTAGCAAAAATGATCAGCAAGACAAGATCTTTAAATAAGTCAACAAGGCTGAAATCGTCAGTTTTATCTTGAAAACTATGAAATATAGACCCAAGATCTACAAGTAAAGTCAATTTTTGATGAAATCATTAGTAGACACTTTATCAGAGTGATTACCCTTGTATGGCGAATTTATTTTAACCCTTTATTGTGTTTTGGGCAAAAACTTAGAAGATAGAGCGAAAATGTAAACAGAATAAATTATACAAGATCAATAAAAAGGAGATTTTTGTCATGAATTCTATTCTAGTCCTCAATGTTTGAGAGTGTCCTTTGTTGAAGATGCACATAGACCTACAAAAATGTTTTAAACTATGTTCTGTCCTGTTTTATTATATTATGGTTTTGCACTATATAAAAAGTGAAATTTACATACATGCCTAAACTATTGACTTGTTCAGACATATGGTCAGATCATATGTTTTCATACGTCATATGAATTTGTACTATGCATGCTTTTTCAATGGAAATTGTGAAGTCACAATGCATTCTTAATAGCACAAAACCCATGAGACCGTCACACGAGGATATATATTTTTTATTGATCTGTGTATTTTATCAGAATGTGATTCATTTTGAAGTTGACTTTTCATCTACAATGTACATATGTACTTAGTTTTTACACCAGATGACCGTGAGGGCATTCCGGTGTATTGCTGTCGCCTAGATTTCCATTACGTAACTTTTGTGTTGGGATTGTAACCGATCTATAAACATGATAAATACACGGATATTATCGAGTGCAAAATGACATTCCTTATCGCTTGTTATAAATTCATTTTTTCAATGGATACTCCTAAAAATATTTTTTTAAGAACATAAATTAAAAATATGAAAATGTTTTGTTGTTAGAAATATATATACAAGTTAAAAATCTTTAATATCTATGCACAGGTACAGAAAATGTGTGTTAACGCATGCGGAAGAACATCTCAAGAACGTTTGCAATCTCCCATGCAGAGTTATAGGTCCTCGCTCTCTCTCAAGGACCAATAACTCTGCATGGGAGATTGAAAGTTTGGCGGGAAAATATGAATGCCTACTCAAATCCAATCTATTAAAAAAAATCGAATTATTACAGAAGAGTGTCCACCTTGCACTTGCACTGCACTATTATTAATATAGTAGAATAGAATGATATACAAATGGGTGAAAATTATATATACATGTCCATGTAACTGTAATATACAAATATTAATATAATATATAACAACAAACCAGAGTATACTGATTTGTATCACTTGAATATCATATTTATTACGGTGAGGTTGAATTCCCTGTCATTTATTTATCATCCATGCACGAACTTGTCTAAGAAAAAAAATTATATCTGTACATTAATCTCACTTTCAGGTATAGAGATGTGATTTTTTTTTTGAGACAAGTGCTTGTGACCATCCACAAGAATTTGCAGTCATCCGATGTTCAGTACTTCAGTACTTTGATTTTGTTAACAATGACACCTTTCCTGATCATTAAGGAGCTTGGTACTGTTGGATAGAAGAATCCAATATGGATTATGGATAGAAAACATACACTTTCTCAATTTTCCTAATCAACTTACTGCTGTAAAATGCCCTCAGTGTTGCTCTGTCCTTGGGTAATTATAAATGGAATATATTTGATTTATGTTTCATATGGAATATATTTGATTTATGTTTCATATGGAATATATTTGATTTATGTTTCATATGGAATATATTTGATTAATGTTTCATATGGAATATATTTGATTTATGTTTCATAACTACAACATGTACTTTTTGAACAGGTCCTCCTAATGTGAAATACTGTTTTTATTTTAATTTCCAGAGAAAACATAGGAAAATACATGTATATATATACTAATGAAGAAAAAAAAAAACAGTACATTTTAAGAAAGTAATGAAATTCAAAAAATATGATCTGAGACAAACTTTAATAACAGAAACCATTGTAACATACATCTATTGATATTTGAATGGTATAATGAAATAAAAAAATTGAAAAGTTGAAACAATATTTGAACACAAGTTGTTTAATGTTCAACAATTTTATGTTTCATACTACCAATTCAAATTGAAACAAAATTGAAATTGAACACCAGGTCTGGTGGTGCTCTTTACATTAAGCTAAAGTCTTGGACTACTTAAAGTGCAATGAAAAAATAGTCCTAGATTTTGATTTAATTGTCCAACTTAAAATGATGGTAACTTATGGTATGATCACCAGTGATTATATCTTTAAATGAAAAAAGTATGCAATGCATACATTGTGTATAAGCACAGAAAGACATTTATTCATTTATCATTGTTTATGGTTGATTACTGTTCACAGGCTTTTTATGGATTAAGATGAAAGTAAATAACTTTTATTTATAACTTTAAAAATTTATAGAAGAGTTTGTTATAAAAGCAAAAAATGAATCTTTATGAAGAATATTTATTTTTTGCAGGTAAATGACTATCCTGACTTCCTGTCAGGCGAAGAAAGAGAAAACACACAACATTTGGTTGTCACTTACTGGACAAGTGATTCTAAAAGACGATCAATACGACGCTCTAAGAGATCTCCACGACCTGGATCTGCAGCTACAGAAGGGGATAGGTTTGTATTAGTTCTGCAATAATATATAATCCTTAGACGCCATAAAGTTGTTTCAATTTAGGCCATGTCAAATTAACTTTCTGGTTCTCAAAACACCGCCACGTCAGCCAAAAAATCTGTACTTTGGCAACTTCCCTGAATCATTTAGTAGTATGAATTTGTCTTACTGCATGAAAGTAAAGTATTTCCACTTAAATATTATTGAAATTCTGTAAGTCATAAAAGGCCCATATATAAATTTTCAAGCTGTTTCCATTTTTATGCAGCAGTGCATGCTTACTTTCTATCTGACAAGGTTTCATGTTTTTTTAGCTCACTATTCTATTCTAGTCCACAATGTTTGAGAGTGTCCTTTGTTGAAGATGCACATAGACCCAGGTGAGCGACACAGGCTCTTTAGAGCCTCTAGTTTTTTTTTATACGCCTGTCAAAATTTTGACAGGACGTATTATGGTATACAAATGTCCGGCGTCCGTCTGTCTGTCCCTCTGTCCGGCATCCACATGTAGCACCGTAACTTGAGAACAACTTATCCAAATTTCATGAAACTTAACATAGTTGTTTCTTATGATGGTCAAACGATCTGTATACTTTTTGGTGAAAATAAGATTAAAACTTTTTGAGTTACGGGACTTTGTAACTTAAACAGGGGGGGTGTTTTTTTCACATGTCGCGCCGTATCTCAAAAACGATTTATGATTATTGCTTAAAACTTTACACACTTCTTAGTTATATCAATCTAAAGATCTGTATACTTTTTGGTGATGATTCAAAATTTTGTTTAAGAGTTATTGAGTTTTTTGTAAAAAAAGGGGGGGGGGGGGGGGGTAGGGGGGTTTCACATGTCACGCCTTATCTCAAAAACGATTTAGGATTATTGCTTAAAACTTACACACTTCTTAATTATATTAATCTAAAGATCTGTATACTTTTTTGGTGATGATTCAAAATTTTATTTTAGAGTTATTGATTTTTTTATAAAAAAAAAGGGGGGTTTTCACATGTCGCGCAGTATCTCAGAAACGATTTATGATTATTGCATAAAACCTCACACACAAGATGACGGGCGTATCATGCGCTTGTGGCGCAGCTGTATATTTGTGTGTTTAGGTTTTTATCTAGTTGTATTACTCATTTGTGATCTCCGAACCTACAGAAAAGTAGATTAAGACAGAAAAGATAGGGAAAATGTTTTGTGTTAATGATCTGGATGTACATTCCTGTTTGCAGCAAGTTAAATGTGAGGAGCTGTGTGCCACCTTAATTTTCTTTTATAGGAGTTATAGTGGTTAAAATGTATGCCTATTGAGGCTACATAACATGCAAGGCTTCATTTGCGAAGTTTAAAAATTTTGCATCAGACAATACTTACTGTTTGCCAAAAATGTTGAATGAAATAGTCAGACTCCTTGTATCATAACATCTAAGCAAAAGAATTACCAAAAGGAAGCAAATTACCATTTTCCATATCAAGACTAGTACATGTATTTTTCTATATGTAAATACGTGAAACGGCCTATTAACTGGACATCTAATTTTTTCAGCATGACATTGTATTAGACCATTTCATTCTCAAGTGTAATGCTATTTGTAACTTTCAATTCCATTTAAGTACTTTTAATACACATGTACACTGTATGTGGAAGGATTATTTATAACTCAAAAACTTCAGAAAATTTTTGTAAGTGGAAAATATTACATTTTTATACGATGGCGGTCGTATATTGGTATGACATTGGCGTTGTCGTCGTCGTCATCCGAAGACACATTGGTTTTCGCACAATAACTTTAGTTCTCTCCCCATATGGAATTTACTGACCCCATATATATCGTATTAGGTCACTAGCACACTACACTATTCGAGCTTCGCTCTCACCCCATATGGAATTTACTGACCCCATATATATCGTATTAGGTCACTAGTACACTACACTATATATTCTACTACCTAAAAGCAATATTAACTCATGGTTTGACTGCATATTTCTTGTATCGCTTTATGATGTTCCACTGTTATAGTCATATCTTATTTCGGGATGGATACAAAATCGCAAATACTCAAATATACACAGTGTTTGAATATATATGTGACACAGCTTCTGAGAAGCTTTGTATAAATTATGTATTTCTCATAGTTCTATGTTAAATTGTGTTCAGTAGTTGTGGCCATCTTGAATTTGGATTGGCAACACAAACCCAAAATTGGTTAAAAGCTATCTATGGATCATTTTTATACGACCGCAAAAAAATTTTTGTGGTCGTATATTGGTATGACGTTGGCGTTGTCGTCGTCGTCGTCTGGCGTCGTCCGGCATCGTCCGAAGACACATTGGTTTTTCGCACTCTAACTTTAGTTTAAGTGAATGGATCTCTATGAAATTTTACCACAAGGTTCAATACCACAAAAGGAAGGTTGGGATTGATTTTGGGGGTTATGGTACCAACAGTAAAGGAATTAGGGGCCAAAAAGGGGCCAAAAATAAGCATTTTTGTAACTTCCAGACATAACTTGTGTGTTAGTGTATGGATCTCTCTGACATTGTACCACAAGGTTCCATATCACAAAAGGAATGCTGGGATTGATTTTGGGGGTAATTGCCTCAAAATATTAGGAATTAGGGGCCCAAAAAGGGGCAAAAAAACAAGCATTTTTCTAGTTTCATGACAATAACTTGTGTGTAAGTGCATGGATCTTTGTGAAATTGTACTACAAGGTTCCATATCTCAAAGGAAAAGCTGGAATTGAGTTTGGGGGTAATTGCTGAAACGTTTAGGAATTGGGGGCCAAAAAGGGGCCAAAAATAAGCATTTTTCTAGTTTCCAGACAATAACTTGTGTTCAAGTGTATGGATCTCTCTGAAATTGTACTGCAAGATACCATACCACAAAGGGAAGGCTGGGATTGATGATGGGGCAAATTGCCTCAATATTTTAGGAATTAGGGGCCAAAAAGGGGCAAAAAACAAGCATTTTTCTAGTTTCAGGACAATTACTTGTGTGTAAGTGTATGGATCTTTCTTATATTGTACTAAAAGGTTCCATATCACAAAGGGAAAGCTGGGTTTGAGTTTGGGGGTAATTGCCCTAATTGTTTAGGAATTTGGGGCCAAAAAACACATTTTTCTAGTTTCCAGACAATAACTTGTGTTCAAGTGTATGGATCTCTCTGAAATTGTACTGCAAGGTACCATACCACAAAGGGAAGGCTGGGATTGAGTTTGGGGGTGATGAATCATAAGGGGGTTCAAAAAATTTGGGGGGGGGGGATTTTTTTTTTTTTTCCTTTTTTTTCCTTTTTTTCCTTTTTTTTCATTTAAAATTTTCCATTTTAAGTTGGTTATTTCTGATTTATATTTAAAAGCAAATAATAATGATATGGTAGGAGATACACACCAAACAGGATGTGTAAATTATTATATAATAAGTATTGTGCAATAGCAAGAAATTTTCAATTGCACAGTATTGCACAATAGCAAGAAATCTTCAATTGCACAGTATTGCGCAATAGCAAGAAATCTTCAATTGCACAGTATTGCGCAATAGCAAGAAATATCCAATAGCACAATATTGCGCAATAGCAAGAAATTGTCAATTGTACAGTATTGCGCAATAGCAAGAAATATTTAATTGCACAGTATTGTGCAAAAGAAGATACTTCGTATAAATTGCTTATTTCTTGACCAATTTCAATGGGGTTTTATTCTTGATTTCATGGGGTTCTTTAATATGCTGAATCTAACCGTGTATTTAGTTTTTGGATTTTGGGCCCCGTTTTTAAATTGGTCCACATTGAGGTCCAAAGGGTCCAAAATTAAACTTTGTTTGATTTTAACAAAAATTGAATTCTTAGGGTTCTTTGATATGCTGAATCTAAACATGTATTTAGATTCTTAATTTTTGGTTCCGTTTTCAAATTGGTCTACATTAAGGTCCAAAGGGTCCAAAATTAAACTTAGTTTGATTTTAACAAAAATTGAATTCTTAGGGTTCTTTGATATGCTGAATCTAAACATGTATTTAGATTTTTGATTATGGGCCCAGTTTTCAAGTTGGTCTAAATCGGGGTCCAAAATTAAACTTTGTTTGATTTCAACAAAAATTGAATATATGGGGTTCTTTGATATGCTGAATCTAACCATGTATTTAGATTTTTGATTTTTGGGCCCTGTTATCAACTTTGTCCACATTGAGGTCAAAAGGGTCCAAAATTAAACTTTGTTTGATTTCATCAAAAATTGAATTCTTGGGGTTCTTTGATATGCTGAATCTAACCATGTATTTAGATTTTGGATATTGGACCATAATAGGTGAATGTCCAATTTAAAATTTTTAAGTTCTTAGACCACATTCATTCTGTGTCAGAAACCTATGCTGTGTCAAATATTTAATCACAATCCAAATGCAAATCTGTATCAAGCTTGAATGTTGTGTCCATACTTGCCCCAACTGTTCAGGGTTCAACCTCTGAGGTCGTATCAAGCTGCGCCCTGCGGAGCATTTTATTTACAATATTTTAAATAAATATGCAAAGAAATTCCATAGATATTTGCAATTGCAGATAATCAGAACACATTTTTGACCCTTGCAACCATTATAGATTTCAGATCCACACCAAAAAATATAATTTGGTGAAGTACCTTCAAATATAAAAATTCTTGCCAATTCTGGTTTAAGTTGGCAAGACAGATTTTGCAGAAGATTAAAATGTGAAACGTTTTCAGAGGATTATTGAAAAGAAATGGCAATATCTCACATGACCCTTTAGGACTCACCCTAGGTGAGCTAATAGGTGTCGGAACTATACTGGAAATTTGTTCTGCCTAGACTCTCTAGGCCTGGTTGAAATCATATTAAATCAGTTATTCTTGTCTTTTGCACTATTATCAAATAGTATAAAACAACAAAATGGATTGCACATGATTTGTGAAGTTCTACACACGTCTTGTTGGTTTGTTCACAAAAATAAGGTCAAACGATCATTTGATGAACTATATTAAATATAAATTTGTCTTTGCAAAATTCATCATATGCTGATATAGCCACTTGTTTAACATATGATATCAATAAGAAAGATCATGACATTTAAAAGATACACAGTTACACATAAAATTTCATGATAAAGAGCAGAGGCGGATTTAAGGAGCTACATATATGGTAGATGCATAGACTTTTAACATGTCAAACTCCAGTTTGGGGGCCCCTTCTTCAAAATCATGAATCTGCATCTGATTAGTAAATCCGAATGAAAATAGTAGTGGCCAAAATTTTTTCAGTTCACATGCTTATTTCTGTTTTAAGTAATACAGTATTTGCATTTCTTAAAAGAGGGATTATAACTTACTGGCAAATAGCAAGATGGAATCAAAATAAAATTTAGTAAGAGATAATGCCTACAGAAATTATTGAAAAACATATCTTCTTAAGAGAATTGTCTGAATATAAATTATGGTCACGATTTATTTGGCAGCTAGAATGACTTACTTCAAACCATTGCTTTACAAAAACAAAATTGTGGAAGAACATAAATTAACCATATTTCAGGGGAAAAAATACAAACAAACATAATCATAGCATAAATAATATATATTTATATTTGTAAAGCTGTTAACTGTTATTAATTTTCACCTAGTTGTTGTAATTTACTAAAGGATTAATTTTAAGCAGAGGAAATAAAATTGTGTGGTGGCTCATTTTTTGGAATCGTTTCAGTAATTCAACCAATCAGCAGAATTATAATTGTCATGATTGTAGAAATAATATATTTTGGATGGGGATTTCACATGCTAAAAAGGAAATTATACAAAAATGGGTCGCTTTAAGAAAAGAACAAACAGTGAAAAAAGGTACATTTTATAAGCCAAAGATGGATTGGATTTGGGTTCCATGTATCAGTATCATTTAACCATCTCTCCCTACTCTCAAAAGAAATCGGGTTTGACTGACCAATTTGGCTCACCATGAACAATTTTTTTGAAAATTGTTGCATATGATATCAATACCCATAAGAAAGATCTTGACATGTATAAATATGTTCATGATAACATGTCATAATACCGGTAAATGGTAAATTCGAATGAAAATGATCGTGACATGATCAAATGGTACCCAGATTTATTTGTTTTTGTCTTTGTGTAATAGTACCCAGTATAACTTTGAAGGAAGAAAAGTACCCAGATCATTGAGAATTTTGGCATATTAAAAAGTTTTTATTGATTCCAAGTAATGCTTTGACTTGAAATCATTTCGTTTACTTTTTCATAATTATAACATGTCTTTAGTGCCATGATATGCGAGTGCAGGTTCAGCATCATCAACTTAATATGTTTATTACCAAAAGATTCTGAAAACAGCAACCTGGGTATGCTTTTAAGATCAGGATAAATTTAACCTGGGTACCTGTAACAACTTTTATTTCAACATGGGTACTTTTCCTTACATACCCAGCGTATAAATGTACGCTCTTATAGTACCCAGGACGACAGTGACCTGTTCAGCCTTCATAGTACGGTGAAAAAAATATAAACATACTAGATTGTGTTATATCACATTATCAGTGTACTTTACTTACATGTAATATTTTACAGTTCAATTTATCATATTGCATTAAAACCGCATACTTTTAAGGAGGGTAATTGTTGACACACTGGATTTTCTGTATTATCTCAAGATTAAATCACCACTGCAGCCTAGATATAAATATATTTTTGTAACCCACTTCAGAATTTAAAGAAAAATGTTCTCACCTACACATTAGTGTTTAAGTTGGTTAGATTTGCTTGTGAAGCGATGACCTATATATTTCTTTCTAGATGTTTCTGTCAGTTGAGGATATTCCGAAGACCGCTGACACCATTTAATGATTTCCAAAAAGTAAAATTATGTCCAATCATTGGGCTTTTAATTTTACAACAATGTTTTAAAAGATGAGGATTTCTTCATTTTAAATGGAAATTATACAAAAATGAGACGCTTTAGAAAGGGAAAAACAATTAAAATTTTAAACATTTAAGCAAATGATGGATTGGATCAGGGTTCTGTGTGTTCACATGATTTGTATTTCTCTCCTTACTCTTGAGAAATCAAGAGGTATTTTCCAACCAAAATGGTCCACCACAAACTTTATTTTTAAAACATCAGTTGTTCGACCTACTAGTCAAATGCGTTTTGTTAAAATATAATTTTTCACTTTTTTGGTCTTTTGGAAAATGTTGTTTGTGTATTTAGACCCGTCTACCATGAAATTTGTTTTGCATGCACACGTATAAAAATTGCCGTTTTTATCCAATGCAATCATAGGTTTGAACGTTGTTTTCAATTTAGACTTTCTTATATTTTTTCGTTTGGGCTTGTATTATATTTGCCTTCGGGTTTATATGATCCGTTCATCCTATTTCGACTCTTTCCAAATTCAAGAGTCTATCCTAAATTGAGGTAAATTATATGGCCTTCCAAATACTGTTTCGATTCCTAACATCACTGAAGAGACATTAATTGTCAAAATCCGGATATGGTGTACAAATTTTTGCACCTCATGTTTGCGGTTTACCATCTTTAGCAAGTTTATTGTTTTCTGTTTAGTAATAAATTAATTATAAGATCCATTCTGTTACATCTTGTGATCCGTTTATTTGGCAATCGCCAATGGCAGTCAGCAGGGTTTAAGAACATCAGTTGTTCGACTTGCTAGTCAAATGCGTTTTGTTAAAATATACTATTCACTTTTTTGGTCTTTTGGAAAATGTTGTTTGTGCTGTATTTAGACCCCTCTACCAAGAAATTTGTTTTGCATGCTCACGTATAAAAATTGCGGTTTTTATCGAACGCAATCATAGTTTTGAACGTTGTTTTCAATTTAGACTTTCTTATATTTTTTCGTTAGGGCTTGTATTATATTTGCCTTCGGGTTTATACGATCCGTTCATCCTATTTCGACTCTTTCCAAATTCAAGAGTCTATCCTAAATTGAGGTAAATTATATGGCCTTCCAAATTCTGTTTCGATTCTTAACATCACTGAAAAGACATTAATTGTCGAAATCCGGAAATGGTGTACAAATTTTTGCACCTCATGTTTGCGGTTTACCATCTTTTCCGCAAGTTTATTGTTTTCTGTTTAGTAATAAATTAATTATAAGATCCATTCTGTTCCATGTTGTGATCCGTTTATTTGGCAATCGCCAATGGCAGTCAGCAGGGTTTAAGAACATCAGTTGTTTGACCTGCTAGTCAAATGCGTTTTGTTAAAATATACTTTTTCACTTTTTTGGTCTTTTGGAAAATGTTGTTTGTGCTGTATTTAGACCCCTCTACCAAGAAATTTGTTTTGCATGCACACGTATAAAAATTGCGGTTTATTTCGAATGCAATCATAGGTTTGAACGCTGTTTTCAATTTAGACTTTCTTATATTTTTTCTTTTGGGCTTGTATTATATTTGCCTTCGGGTTTATATGATCCGTTCATCCTATTTCGACTCTTTCCAAATTCAAGAGTCAATCCTAAATTGAGGTAAATTATATGGCCTTCCAAATACCGTTTCGATTCCTAACATCACTGAAAAGACATTAATTGTCGAAATCCGGATATGGTGTACAAATTTTTGCACCTCATGTTTGCGGTTTACCATCTTTTCCGCAAGTTTATTGTTTTCTGTTTAGTAATAAATTAATTATAAGATCCATTCTGTTACATCTTGTGATCCGTTTATTTGGCAATCGCCAATGGCAGTCAGCAGGGTTTAAGAACATCAGTTGTTCGACCTGCTAGTCAAATGCGTTTTGTTAAAATATACTTTTTCACTTTTTTGGTCTTTTGGAAAATGTTATTTGTGCTGTATTTAGACCCCTCTACCAAGAAATTTGTTTTGCATGCACACGTATAAAAATTGCGGTTTTTATCCAACGCAATCATAGGTTTGAATGTTGTTTTCAATTTAGACTTTTTTATATATATATATATATATATATATATATATATATATATATATAAAATTCGTCTAAACAACAGTCCAACAATGTTAGATCTGTTAATTTGCAGAGGCAAATTTTTTGTTCTTCCCTGGCCGGGATTCGAACTCATGCTACTGAGATATCGTGGCACCAAATCGTGACGCACTAGACCACTCGACCACCTAATCTCTATAAAAATAAAGCTTTCGGTGGCCGGGTGTTACCTTTCCTCGTCAGTTTATATATATATAGTATAGTGAATAATAGAAATTGATAAAATTCTTCCATCATTTGGAAAAGCTTGGTAAAACTCCTCATTAACTCCTTATTACATTTTATTTACAGATCAAATGCTTCAACTCCACTTGGGTTTGCTTCTTCACATGACTATGGGAACCTATCTGAAGATTATGGATATATCACACAGAGTATGTCAAGTTTACAAGTCAGTGGTAGGCCAGATAGTAGAGGATCAATTGGGTCAGTCAGGGAGACAAAAGGAGGCAGTAAGAAGAAAAAAAGATTTAGTGAAAGCCTAGAAGATAGTTTCATTCTAAAATCTTTGAAAGAAGAGAGGGAAGACCATTTGTTGGATATTGAGGAGAACAATGAATTAAATCTTTCAACTAACTCTTATCTACAGAAGCCATTACCAAAGCGAGAATCTGGAAAGAACAAAAGACTTCGGAAACCTTCAGGGGAGTCTGTGAAATCCAATGAAACCATCTCAAGCAGACAGGGGTCAGTAAGACCATTACCTAATTTACAAAAGAAAAATGCTTTTGATACATCTCAGGCAGACCAAAAATCTGGTATAACTGAGAAATCTGAATTAGTACCAAATAATGAAATAGAAAATCCTAATAAAGCAAGCCTGTGTTGTTGTTTCCATGGTAAAAACAAAATAATTCCATCATGTGGGCATGGAGATGATACAACTGATGATTATTATGAAAAAAAGCCCATAGAAAGCATGGAAAGAAAAGTGCCTATAATAAGTACTGAATATCCCATCAAGGATGGCCAACCACCAGATATAAATATAGACATTACTTCAGATATTGCTAAGGGGATGAGGGGGTCTGTTTTATCTGTACAGGAAACTGTTCAGTCTCGACGGTCTTCAATCACTACTCTCAAGGGAGGTAATTCCAGAGCAGGAACACCTGCCTTAGAAGGGGAAGCAACTCGAAGTATGAGGTATGTTGATTTGCATTTGGTGTTGATGTCTTATATTCACTGATACTTCAAAAATATTAACAGTATATCTTTTTAGTTGCTACAGACTTTAACATTTACAGTCGCTGTCAATATGAAAAAATCTGTACTAAAGCTTGTCGAAACGAATTAGAAATTAAAAAAAAAAAATTTCAAAATGCTTTACAGATACACATCACATAAATAAATTTAACAAACATATTTTAAATTTAAGGGTACTTTTATGCTTTTGTCTCGCCTAGACAAAGTTGCTGAGGCAAGACTTAAGCGTGCTGGCGAGGGCAAAATGGGTGTATTCATTTGTTCTTTAGTTTGTGATTAGGTCTCTTTAAGCAGAAGCACTAATATAGCTAACTAAAGGCATACATATCTCACTTCCATAGAGATCATTTAGCCTTGCACTCTCAGTCATGGTCCATTGACTTTGAAACCTTTCCATAGTTTACATGTTTAATTTGTGAATAGGTCAGTTAAAGAGGAGCCACGGATGGTATGTCAAAGACATTTTGTAGGCAGTTGTATTAGTATTGGCACATTTCAATTTCAATGAGATCATTTTAATAGCAGTTGACTTTGAAAATCAAACTTGACCAGTTTAAGAAGATATTCTATTTGTACATGTAAGTCAATATATAAATGCTGTTTGGTATAGTTTTCATGTTTAAGTGTTGCCATTTACATTTGTAAATTATGATATATACATTTTTATGCTGCCGCCGCCATTTTAGTTTGCCTCAACCAATTGTTATGAGACTTATACACAATGCTTTTACCACAAAACACAGATCAAGTTTGAATTCGGGTGACGTCACTTTTACCATTCTAGAGTTATGCCCTTTGGAAATGTAAATTGCTGAGTTTTTCGTTTCCATTTTCTCAACTTAAGTTTGCCTCAACCAAATTTTTTGAAACTTTTACACAATGCTTATTACCATAAAACTCAGATCAAGTTCCAATTTGGGTGGCTTCACTTTTACCGTTCTTGAGTTATGATGTCCCTTTATAACGTTATATGCAAGTGGGGGCATCATCTGTGTCCCATGGACACATTATCCATTTATTTTGTATAAATCACATGTAGCCGAGACATGTCAATAGTTTATTGTAATAAAGTTTTAGTTGATAAAAAATAATTGCATTGAAGCAGTAATTGACAGCTATTGTGTGGATCAAATCACTAAACAAATATTCACGCTCTTCTTTATATGCACTTTTCCCTAGCAGCATTGCGCTATATGTTTTTTGTTTTGCCTGCGACAAAAGTCGCAGTTCGCAGTATGTGAGAGTTAAGTATTACTATCTGGCAGCAGCGGCGTAAACTATTTGTATAAAGCTTTATATTTCAGAAGACCTATATGCTTCATACCTTGTATGCAGATACCTTATGTTACAAAGTTTCCGTCTGTCATATGTCCATTGTCCTTGACCTCATTTTCATGGTTCAGCGACTGCTTGAAAAAAAATTATAGTTTTTTTGTCATGTGAATTTCTCACTTATATGAGTAGTAAGATAACTATATTTGGTATATGGGTTCGTTGCAACGTCTACATGTTCATCAGACAGAGTTCACCTGACCTCGACCTCATTTCATGGATCAGTGATTAAGGTCAGTTACCTGATTAGGTTCGTTTCTCAGATACTATAAGCAGTAGGACAACTATATGTTGTGTATGGAATGATTGTAAGGGGTACATGTCAGTCTGTCAGGTTTCATCTGACCTTGACCTCATTTTCATGGATTATTGGTGATTGTTAAGTTTTTGTGTTTTGGTCTGTTTTTCAAATACTTATAGCAATAGGTCAGCTACAATATATATTTGGTGTATGGAATAATTGTAAGGTGTACATGTCAGTCTGGCAAGTATCATCTGACCTTGACCTCATTTTCATGGTTCATTGGTCAATGTTGAGTTTTTGTGTTTTGGTCTGTTTTTCAATTACCATAACCAAAAGGTCAGCTATAATTGGTGTATGAAAAATTGAAAGGTGTACATGTCTGTCTGACAGAATTTATCCGACCATGACCTCATTGTCATGAATCTTTAAAAATGTTAAGTTTATGTGATACTTGTAGTTAAATCTTTATCTTGAAGACTTCAACATAAAATCAATGGTCAGTAAAGCTCCTTGAAACTTCACAGAAAGATTGCACACAGTTGTGAACCTGTTGTTTTGGAATTGTTTAAGGAGTATTTTACCATTGACAGAGTTTTCAACAAAATTTACATATGCATGTAACATTGTGTAAAATGATACTAATTTTCGGAAATCAACTCCTCACAGTTTATAACCAAGATCCTTGAATCTTCGTTAAAGGATTGCACACATAATGGCCTCTTATCCAAGCATATCTTGGAATGTGAAGGATGAGAGTCATTCTGTTAATGGTTAATCATTTAAAATTTGAAATTTTTCGTAAACATTGTGGGTGTCTTGCAAGAAGCAGGACCTGTTTACTCTTCCGATGCACCCAAGGTAGCCTAAGTTTTTATGAGGTCCTTGTAACTGTTTCTCATTTCATGATTTGTTTTTAGTATTTAGTGTTGAGTGTCTATTGTTTCTCATCGCGTGTCTTCTTCCATCGTTATATTAAAGTGATTCACTTATCATTAATGTAAACAATAGATTGCTTTACACATTAAGCAGTATTAAATGCTAATTTGAACAAGTCTAAATAGCATTGTTGGCTAACCTACGTGGTTAACGAGAAACATCTTTACAGGATTTCTTCTTGCAAAATTGTCTATGATTTATTCATAGTTGAGTTCAATTTGTTTATGTACATATAAGAGTAAAGAGGAATTCAACCCTTTCTGTTGAACTGGAAGTTACGCTTGTCAACCAGAGTGAGCTAAGAACTTTGATAATGTTGGAAAATATCTTTGTACAAACTCTCTAGTCTGTTATGGTAGAGGTAATTGCGGATGGTTTGTCACACTGGTTTCCCAATAATTCGTCCTAGAGTTGAAATTCCTGCCTAAAAGAGTAACTTATGATAAAGTGTATGAATTTGAGAAAGAATTGGTCCAGCAACTTTAATAAATACATGAACACACAAAGACACATATGTGAAAAATGTTCTGAATACAATTTATAGATAATCTTCTCAAGCAATTTATTGTCATGACTGTCTAAATTGTAAAATCTGTTAAAATGAAAGTATTCAATTAACAAAAAATATATACAACTAATATTTAGAGTACATATTTTATGCAGTGTTCTCCTCAGAAATTTCTTATATCATCCTGGTAAACAAGAAATTATGAAATACCATCTTGTTTTTAGAAACTATAGCATCACATCCATAACACTATCTATAAGAAACTAATTTCAGATAGCATCACATTCTTGCAATACAGCACCACATTACCATGATGCTAAAACAGGCCCTGGGGAGAACTCTGTTATGATATCATGTTTTTTAAGGAAAGTTGACTGTTCAACATTTTTGTTTATTGTTAAAATTTGTTCTGTCTCACTAATTAGCGACAAGAAGCGTCAAGAAGCTACAAGAAGAAAAAAAATAGCGACAAGAAGACCAATTTAGCAACAAGAAAGTTTATTTGCTATTAAAACAATAGATTTATCAAAAAAGTCAATTAATTACAGTTGATTATTTGTTGTTTTATAAAGATTCAAATATTGTTGTATTCAGTAGCATTACAGTCTTGATTTTGCGGTTGTATATTGGTATCACGTCGTCGTCGTAGTGAGCGTCGTCCGAAGACATTTGGTTTCCAGACAATAACTTTAGTAAATGTAAATAGAAATCTATGAAATTTAAATACAAGGTTTATTACCACAAAAGGAAGGTTGGGATTGATTAAGGGGGTTATAGTCCTAACAGTTTAGGAATTAGGGGCCAAAAAAGGGCCCAAATAAGCATTTTTCTAGTTTCCAGACAATAACTTGTGGGACCGTGTATGGATCTCTCTGAAATTATACCACAAGTTTCCATACCACAAAGGGATGGTTAGGATTGGCTTGGGGGGGGTTATGGCTCAAACCGTTTAGGAATTAGGGGAAAAAAAGGGGAAAAACAAGGGTTTCCTGGTTAATGGACAATTTAAAAAAAGTACAATGTTATGTTTGGATTACCTCCCTTACACTGCTTTTAAATTATGTATAAAGAAATGTTGTATTGTCTTGAAGTGATTAGCTGTCAATTTATTTTTAGAAGTTACTATTTAAAAATACTGATTAAAGAATATTAATTTTAGCCATGATTATGTATGTCATTTTCTATTTTAAGACTTTTATGATGAATTTAAATGGGTAATTATGGTTGCGAACTCCATTGGAAATTTGAATTGAGATTATGACCATATCTTGAGGGAAAGGATTTTTTTTTGGGGGGAAAAAGGGGGGAGGTGGGGGGTGGGTTGTGGTAAAAAAGAAATTGTGAGGAGGGGGGACCATTTTTTCTCATTTCAGATTTCAGAAATTAAAAAGAAAATTTCTTCAAATATTTTTTTTTGGGGGGGGGGGGGGTCAATTCCCAACAGCAAAGTGTATTGCACAAAAGCAAAAGGGGGCAAAAAAATATTTTTTTTTGGGGGGGGGGGGGGGGGGGCAAGTTGCAACAGCATAGTGTATTGCACAAAAGCAAAAAATTGAATATAAATTCAGATCATATAACCAATTCTAAGTTCTTTGACTACAGTTATACTGTGTCAGAAACCTATTATGTGTCAAATATTTAATTACAATCCAAATTCAGACCTGTATCAAGCACGAATATTGTGTCCATTTTTGCCCCAACTGTTCAGGGTTGGACATCTGCGGTCGTATCCAGCTGCTCTCGGCGAAGCAATTTATTATACGACCGCAAAAATTAAAAATTTTTTGGTCGTATATTGGTATGACGTTGGCGTCGTCGTCGTTGTCATCGTCGTCGTCGTCGTCGTCGTCGTCCGGCGTCGTCCGAAGACACATTGGTTTTCGCACTCTAACTTTAGTTTAAGTGAATGGATCTCCATGA